AAAGGGATGGTTTCAGTTCATTATGAAGGCCCTGGGTTCAATCCCCACTGAAAAATAACAGAAAGAGAAGGTCTTTATCAGGACTGTAGACAAAGCCCAGTGTTTTCCTGGTATTCGCTGAAGCATGCCTACCACTGTTCGAAGTGGCCACCATGTAGGACCAGAGTCACCCCGAATGCCATCCCACTTTGTACAAGATCTCAGAGCGTCTGAGGGGATGTCTGGGTGACCTGCTGGGAGATGCACAGTACAGTGTGGGAGCCCCAGCTTGACACCGAGAAGCTGAGCAGGAGGAGGCTGGGTGCTGCTAGGCTGCAGAGCAGGGCCGGGCCTTCATCCCTGGGCCTGGAACGTGGTCAGCCAATAGCCGACCATCTCTGGAGAAGCCCGGTCCACTTTTGGTTGCTACCACACAGCACCTGGGCCCAGGTAAGTTAGAGGAGGGAGATTTGTTTTGGCCCAGGCTTCTCAGCTGGGAAGGCTCAAGGACCTGGTGCAGTGAGGTCTCAGCAGAGGGTAGCTGGGCCCTCCTGAGGTGCCTGGGGCAGGCTCGCCTCTCAGCACTGGGCACACATCACTCCTGTCCACAGGACCCACCCACCCTGAGGCTCTGGAGAAAGACTGGACCCATGTGGGACGGACCACCAACCCCGCTCCAGTGTCGCATCACCAGGTACCAGGTACCAGGGCCTTGGGGATGAACCCATCAGGGGACGGGGGTGAGCTTCACTGTGTGGAGAGCCTGCTGCATGCTGGAGCTGAGTGGCGCTGTCCCTAGGCCGCCTCCCACCCTGGCCAGCGACATGGTGTCCTCCCTGTGATCACAGGGTCGGGAGAGCGTGATCAGCTGAGTCACCAGGAAGCTCCCCGTGACCTGCGGTCACCACTGTCCGCCCGAGGCTGGGGTGGGGTGGGGCTGGGGGAAGCTGGCCCAGCTTGGGCTGGAAGTGGCCAGCTGCATGCTGGCTTCCTGTTTGGCCTGGTACCGCTCCCCTCCCTACCCCCCAGGATTTGCTTCCTCCTCCGAGACGTGGGGTTGTGTGGATCACAGCCACGGCCCCTGGAGCTCGGGAGGGAAGATTCCATCCGCCCCTCCCTGTCCCTGGGCTCTGTGTGGAGAGGCTGGGGAGGAGAGTCAGGGAGGAGGGAAGCAGGCCGCACTGCCAGCCCTGCCAGCGAATGATCCAGTCATACCGCTGTGCTGTTTCAGGGGAGGAGAGAGAAGGGAGGAAAAGATTTAGAAAGCGAATGCATGAAAACAGTGGCAAAAGGGTATAGAAAGAGAACAGGTAGTGGGGCAGGGACGAGCTTAGGGTTGAGGTTTTCAGAGTGAGCCCAGCCCAGGGAAGAGTTTTAGCTGTTGGCCAGCGTCTGGGTGTCCAAGGTCCCCCAAAGGCCCCTGGCGCTGTGGGGAGGTCCCCAAGTCACAGACCCTAGGCTGTGGGACCCAGACCCTCCCTGCCCCACGACAGGCAGTGACAGGTCCCCTGCCTGTCCCCGAATCCACCAGAGCCCCAACACCCCAGTCTGCTTCATCTTGGGCTGGAAACCACAACTGAACCAAAGTAGCCCTTTTCTCTTTATGTGTCCACTGCCTCTAGCATTTCATCACAGTAATGAAACAGCTGCACCTCTTCCCCACCCCTCCTGGCTGCCCCTCAGGGACCCGCCCTGGCCCTGGAACCTCAGCAAACCTCAAGCAGCAGTCCTTCCCCGAGGCCACAGGACAGGCTGGGTGGTCCAGAAGCTCCAGACCTTTCCATATGAGACCTGCAGGGATCTGAGTCTCTCAGGGACCTTTGCTCCCTGGGAAGGAACAGCAAACCACTCTTGTGCAGCTCCAGGGGAAGCCTGGAAGAAAGAGAAGTAGAGAGAAGGTCTGCAGGACCTTAGAGAGGGGCAGATGTTTCCAGAGAAGATTGAAAGCACTCGCCAGGGTAGAAAATCGACCACTGGCTTTTATCAAAATTAAAAGCCTCTCTCCAGCAAAAGGCGTCATTTGTTTGTTTATTTGTTTATTTATTTATTTTTAAGGTGTTGTTTAAATGCAGCAAGTCTTGCACGCAGAGGTCCCGACCTGCAGTGCACATAGCTGCCGGCGCTTGTTTCCAGACCCATTGCAGAACTACGAGCAGTCAAGAAGAAAAAGACAAATAACCCAACAAAAAATAAGCAAAGGACTTAAACAGGTACTCCTCAAAGAGGGGCCAGGAAGCCGAACATAGGATGTCACTGCAAGGGAAGGGCATTGAAGACCACAGGAGACACCGAACACCCCGCCTGGGCCAGCGCTGCTGAGGATGTGGGGTAAGCGCCGCGCCGGGTCCACTGGGCAGAGGGTACTGGCTGCCCCCGGGAGGACACTGCTTCCATCCTGTGAGTGTTCCCAGGCACATTCCCCGGGACCGTGCCTGTGCCCGCAGGGACACACACAGAAGTGCCCAGGGTTTTCCCCTTCTCGGGTTGCCTCAGTCGCGTCCACAGAGCACTGGAGGGCAGCGACGGCATCTCCAGACCTGGGAGGGTCCACTGTCTGCGCCTCTGAGGCACAAAACTGAGCAGCAGGTAAAGGCACTCGGCCACATCTCCCTCATGGGGCACGGATGGGCAGGTGTGAGGGAGGAACTTCTAGGGTGCTGGAGACCCCATCTGGATTGGGTGTGGCACGTGTGGGTGCACGTGTGTGAAAGATGACCAAGCTCTTTGTTAGGGTGAATGTTTCGTGCTGTTTACTGAGTGCATATCAGACTTTTGTCAGATGCTGATGTGCAAAAGTCATACTCGTTTATTGAGCACTTACTATGCATAAGCTGGCTTTATACCGATCATTTCCCTTAATCTTCCCAACCACCCACCAACCAGATGTCACTCACTTTAGAGAGGACACCGAGGCTCCAGAGGTTACAGTTCATGCATCTCAGTGGTCTGAGCGGGGTGGGACTTCAACCTGTGTCTGTTTGGCTATAGATCCCGAGCTGTTCTTGGTGCGGCATGGAAGTTTCCTGTGTTGCTAGACTGAGCACTAGAGGTTGCAGATGCTGCTCTTTAAGGGGGATTCGCCATGAGCCTGGTACCCCGGGAACCCCAAAGGCCCTGCCTTCTTGAAAGACTAGGGAGCACTGGGTTCCATCCCTGGAGTTCACCCACCAGGTAAGGGCCTCACGGCGCCAAGGCCAGGCTGTCAGATCCTGGGGCGGGGCCGTGGTCCGACTTGTCTGCAGGCCTCTGCCTCCTGGCCTGTGCGCAGGGCCGGTGGTGCCGCCCTGCAGCATCCTCATGGCAGCCCTGGTCTCACAGCTGCTGGTGCCCTGCTGCCATCCCTCCAACAGCGCCTTTCCCCTCTTACAAAAGGCTTGGGCTGGAGGAGAGGTTTGCTTAGCTCCCAACTCTGGGTGTTCAGGGCCCGGCACTGCATCACCGTGACAGATGCGTGGGAGACCGCACTCATGTGCGAGTCTGGCTGTGCCCAGCCAGTCTTACTCCATCCTTACAGCTGTCTAGAGTAGGGGACTGAGTGTCCCAGAGGACTAAGTTCCTTCCAGGGCAGCACCCTCTGAGTGCGGCCCATATGGCGTCGCCACAGCAGGTGCCAGGTGCGGAGGGAGGCGGTGGTTTGGGCTGGGTCACGAGACTTGCGTGGGCCTGGGAACCTGCGGACTTTGGTCCCACAGAGAGATGAGGGGGTCATGCCGGGCTGGGTGCTGTGGGAGAGGTTCTGAGGGAGTGAGGTAGAGCTCGAGGGGCGGTAGAAGCGGACAGGGAAGGGAGGCTGAGGACCTGGCTAGGATGAGAGGTGCCCGGGGGCACACGGCCCCCCGAGTCTCGGAGCCATCGCCTCAGGAAGCAGAGGAAAGGGAAGAGTCCATGTGGGAATGACAGGGGTCCCGTGTGTGGGCCCCATGGTTCCACAGAGGCTTCCTGTGGCCTTCAGAGGCTGGGAGGTTCTCACCTCCTGAGAACACCCTGTCCTGTCTCAGACACGCTGGCTTCCTAGGCTTCCTTCCCGCCGATGGGCGGTGGAGGCGTGGCCACCCCACAGGGCCCAGGCCCCTTCCCGCTGGGGTGCCGGCAGAGGGACTTTGTCCTGGCTCCTGGTTTTATGCCGATGTGCAAATAGGTTTTGAATGCGAAGACTTCTGTGGTTGTTTTTCAGGGCTGTCCAAGTGCTGGAAGAAAACCGCCCGCCCCTCTGAACGTTGTTTTTGTGACTTTCCTTGGAGCATTGTTCTAAAAATGGGAAATGACATGTTGCTGTGCCAAAGGAAAAAAAACACCTGCCGCTCACGGCCACCTTCCTGAGGTGGCTGCTAGAGAGCAGGTCAGCCCCTGCGTGGGCTGGGCGAGGGGGGTTCCATGTCCCCAGATGCGGGACAGGCGTGGGCCCAGGTCTGTGACCACAGGCAGCCAGCTGTCCTGTCACACACACACACACACACACACACACACACACACACACACCCTTCCCAGAGTCAATGCCTGCGTCCTTCCCTCTATCCCCTTCCTTCCTTCCTTCCTTTCTTTCTGGTACTGGGGATCAAACTCAGGACCTTGCACTTGCGAGGCAGGTTGAGGAACCACTGAGCTAAATCCTTGGCTTTCTTCTTGGTTAACTCAAAAAACCTGGACTGTCAACCAACACATTTCTTTAGGCACATGCCTTTTCCAAATGTTCTGTACCTTTGAAAACAGAGGAGTGCGGTCTGAAATTCTTGTTCTGTGTGGTAGACTTCAAGAGGCGATTTTGGGATCCTCTGGTTAATAGTTAACATCCACCAGCACGGCTGTCATTGTGTAATAATCAGACCTTGAAAGGATCAAGAATGAAATGAGCACGTTTGACATGGATGTGTGGTTTAGGAAGAATCTGGGACCACAGGCCCAAGCAGCGACCCAGGGAACCCCAAGCTTCATGGAGTTTTGGTGGAACTTCCTGCCTGCACTGGGTGTGGATTTCTCCAACAGTAGTGGTGGCTGAGGGGGCATCTTTTGGGGTTGTCTCTCTGGGACCTCTCGGGAACCACCCTGGTCCTGCCTGGAAGCAGGGTCCTACCCTGCACTTGGTTTAGGAGCTCAGTTTCCACCTGAGACTCCAAAGCAGGGTCCTGGCGGTGAGATCAACCCCACGGGGCAGATTCACACGGAAGTAGTTTCTTTCCCTTTTGCTCACTAGGATTTTCTAAATTCTCTTCACGAGCAGTGAGATCACAAACATGGGGTTCATGCCTTCCTGGGCTCCTGTCCTGGAGAGGGTGACAAAGGCAGGTGGAAGGAAGGGAGCCCAGGGACGGAGGGGCTCGGGGTGGGTGGGGGCAGCAGGAGGAGCCCAAGAGCCAGCCTGACAGGGGTCTGAGGTGGCCAGTGCAGGATGCCTGGTTAAAGGCAAATTTGCAATAAATAATAAGCCATTTAGGCTGGGCGAGGTGGTGCACGCCTGCAATCCCTGCACTTGAAAGGCTGAGGCAGGAGTAATTCAGAACGACTTCAAGGCTAGCCTGGACTATACAGCGAAACCCTGTCTCAAAAAAAAAAAGTGAACCCTTTAGTTCAGCGCCCCCGAGAGCTGCCTGGTGGGCTGGCTCTTTGGGAACCTTTGGACAGCAAGCACAGTGAGCCCCCAACCTCAGGTGAGCCCATCCCCAGGCTGCTGGGCAGGACATGGACGCTGTCTTGGAAGGAGTGTACCAGGCTGAGGCCAAGCAGGAAGCAGGCGGAGCCTGGGAGCAGGGAGGCCAAGAGCAAAGCTCAAGATCACCGTTTGGTTCTGGCCCTGTGGGAGGAGCATTCAGGAAGAGGGGAGACAGACCTGGAGCTCTGGGGGCAGGGTCAAATGTCCTGGACTGGTCCCCAGCATCACGGAGTGCAGAGCAGCCCCAGAGCAGAGCAGGCCTCTTCAGGGATGGCTGGGGCCCAGGCGGGGCCAGAGGAGGTGGAAGGGATCGGTCTGAAGAGTCTGAAGAGGCCCTGGGACCAGCAAGATGGGGAGGTGCCAGGATCCCCTGCTGTCCAGGGCTTGGCTGCAGCTCTCTGGTCCCCACCCAGTGAGGTCTAGAACTGCAAGATGCACAGACTTCTCTTTACAGCCACTAAGTTTGTGGTAATGTGTTACAGCTGCCAGAAGAAATTAGTTTAGAGGTGATTTGCAATGAGCCAGGCCCTGGGCTTCAAAGGCCTAGTATGGGGTGGAGAGAAGGGATGAGCCCCACGAGACCCTGACCCTGAACCCCTGCTTCCCGGGGAGCCCTGCAGTCCGCACCTCTCCCTGGGGCTGGCAGAAGACCTGCTTGGGGCAGGAGCCTCTGGAGGGTCCCAAAGGAAGCACTGCAGGGACCTGGCCAACTGCCCGTGGGTGCAAATGCCACTTGGCAAGCCGAGCAGGGTTTGGGGTGGGTGGGGATCCACACGCTGACGGGGACCAGACCCGAGCTCCCACCCCTGGCTTCGCTGTTCCAAAGCTGGCAACCATGCTTGCTCAGCTGAATCTCTTTTCAGGTCTGTGTGCACGTTCTGTAGTTTGGCAGTGTTAGGTTATCGTGGAAGTGTGCTGGGTGGCTAGCTGCTGCTGACTCAGGCTCGCCCTACACCTGATTATAGGTCTTGTAGGCACCTTTGTGTGGCCCAGTTGTCATCAACCACGGGTCCCTTTATCGTCCTTCCGAAGCTATCAGTGTGGCCGTCGCCCTGCGCTGAATTACTACCCACAGGCCCTCAGTGTTCGCAGACATCATGCCTGGCACGGGCTGTAAACAGGGCTTTATCCGCACACCATCTTGATGAAGTTGATTAGGGCTGGCTTGGCTTCCTCTTCCGGCCTGGTGAGTCATTTGCAGACTTTCTGCCAGGGTAGTAACCTCGGCCGCCTGGGTTTGGAACCACACGGTCCTGCTGACATGGAAGGCCCAGGCCGGGGTTTCACAGTGAGAAAGCAGCTTTGATAACCACCGCTCTTCTTTGGCTAAAATTCCTTTGGTTTCCAAGTTGTTGGGATAACAGATAATTTCCAAATAATATTTTTCACCCAAATTCACTTTTCTTAAAAGTCATTGAGAAATGTGGTCTTTCTCTCCCTTTGCTACTCAAAGTTCTGAATGTTAAAACTGGAGTGGAGCATTAAGCATTTCTTGTTTTTAGTCTTTTTTTATGGCTCGGATACATTTTAAATCTTTTCTTCAGGCAGTTGGTGCCCAGTACCCCTCACATCTTAATCATACACTGGGCATCCTGTGCATTAGGGTTTGGCATATTCCTAGAGAACATGGCTGATTATATAACTAGATATTTTCATAATACAAGTGTGGACTTTTTCTCCTCTTCCTCATTTTTCATTCTTCAAATGCAAAAGCCATTGTTAGCTGGTGTTCCCCTGAAGTCAGGCTCCGCTGAGCGCCCCTACCTGCGCTGTGGGGTGGTGGGTGCTACCAAGCTGGGTGCTGCTGTGGGAGGGACCACCGCGGAGGGTCCTGGAGCCTGCTGCCCGTCACTGCCTCTCAGACAGTTGCACACTCTCTGCTTGCACTCTGGGGCTGCTCAACGCCCTTTGTCTTTGCACCCTGTTCTTTGAAAAGCACAAGGCTGGGTTCTGGGTGATGACATAGCTCACATTCTTGTGGGTCCCCTGGGCCCTCGGGCCAGGCAGGACCTGCTGCAGGTTAATTGTGCCTCCTTTCATCCTTACTTATCTGCTCTATGTTTGCCCAAGGTAAACACTGTCCCAGCAGGGGATGGTAATTAAAATTCTGAGCCTTCCTGGCCTTGATCTTTATCCACTGAACAATGCTGGGCTTGGTGAGGACCCAGGAGGAATCCTGGGTGACCTGGATGCAGGCACTGGGCCCTAGGAGTGTGGGAGTGACAGGCGGGGTGTCCCGATGCCCGCCCGTCCACCCCCAGGAATCTCTGCCGGGCCTGCTGGCCCCTGACCTGCCCTGGTATTTTTACAGCCTAGTCCTTCCTGCACAGCGAGCAGCGCAGGGCCGCCCTGGCTTAGGTGTGAGCCTGGGTGTGTGTCCTGGGGACTCTTCTTACTGTTGTCACCTGTTTATGGGCTGTGGCAGCTCCTGCCATCTGCAGGGTGAGGAGGGCCTGTGCTCTGGCACTGTCCAGGTCGGGCACTGGGACAATGACCCCAGAGCTAGGCTTCCATGCAGGTATCCCAGTGTTGGGTTCTGATTCTGCGCTATAAATGGTGGTATAAATGGTGGTGGGGGTGAAGGCTAGGGTCTCTGGGACCCTCTGGAGGGGCTGCTGCCAGCTCAGGGCAGGGTGTCTCCCCATTTTCCTGCAGAACTCAGGAAACACCTCAAACTTGAATTTAAGGGTTGGGGATTTAGCTCAGTGGTGCTGCGCCTGCCTCATAAGCAGAGTTCAATCCCTGTTACTGAATTTTTTTTTTTTTAATTTAAAACTCAGGCCCCTGGGAGTGCTGGGTTCCACCCTCTGCCCCTGATTTAGCCTGGTATGGTGACACTGCCCCCTGGTGGCCATGCCATCCCTACCTCCGCCACCTCAGGCTGGGTGTTTGGGGTTTTAGGGGCTCTTTAGGGCCAGCTCCTCCCCCGCACATTTTGGTCTTCAGTTGCTTCATCATTGGCCGCAGATACTTGCTGGGCTGCAGATATCAGTGGTCACAGGCCCCGAGGTTCAGGGAGGGTGGGAGGATGGCTGGGGCTCAGCCTTCTCCACCACAGGAAGTGGCCAAGGCCAGGGAGCCTGAGAAGCCCGGTGGGGCTGAGGGCGGAACCAACAGGGTGGGCCCTGCAGAGGGAAGGCCGAGGGCGCCCAGGCTGAGACTAGGGCTGGGCGGAGGGAATGCTGAGTGTGGCAAGGACCCAAAATGAGGAAGGCGTCTGAGGGCTCAGGGTCTGGCCCTGCCCCCCTCCCCAGTAAGTGAGTGGCTGCAGACTGAGTGAGATGCTTGAGGTTTATTGCAAAGAAAGGGGGCCGCGGGCAGGGATGGGATGGTCTGGGGACACCTTCAGCTTCAAATCCAGGGGGCTTTGGGTTGCTGAGCTCTAAGCACATTCACTGGCTTTTACTATTTTTTCCTAAAACAGAAAGAAAAGCCCAAAAGAACAGTAAGTGAGTTCCAGAGCCTGGAGATAAAGGTGCACAGAGACAGTGATGTTGACTGAAGTGTGTAAGTGCCAGGGTGTTCTTATCAGAGCTCTTAACAAAGAGGACAGGGGCCGGGTACAGTGCGGTACACCTACAGTCCCAGTTACTTGGGAGGCTGAGTCAGGAGGATCACCAGAGCCTAGGAGTTTGCAGCTAGCCTGGGCAACAAAGCAAGACCTGGGTGTGGTGGCACATGCCTGAAACCTCACCACTTGGGAGGCTGAGGCAGGAGGATGGAGTTTGAACCCAGCCAGGGCTGCATATGAGAACCCCCCAAAAAACAAGAGCAAAAACAACAAAGGCCCCAGGGAAAAGCCTGAGTTGACTGTGCCTGCCCCACTGGGGACTGTCAGCCTTACTCTCTTGTCTAGGTTGGAAGTGGGCCAGGCACAGAGGACCCTGGCGGCCAGGCCAGGAGTGCTCACCTAGAGCCTCAGCACCGCCTGGCGGGTGCTCTGGGGCAGGGTGTCCACCAGGGTCTTCATCTTGGTGCCTGCATCTTTCATGTCCTCATCAGGCTGGAAGGGCTCCACCATGCTCTGGTACTCGGACAGCGAGCCCACCAGGAAGGTGTGGAGGACACTGTGGAATGCGGGGCGCGTCTTGGCAGAACCTGGGAGAGGAGCAGAGCGCCCATGGGCTCAGGCCCTGGCCAGCCACCACAGCGCAGCGCCAGCGAGGAGCGCAGCCTTCTTGAGGTGGAGCAGAGTGGGGGCTTGGTGCACGGGGCTTGAGAGCCTCGGTCGCCCTCGCTGCATCATGGAGTGTAGCCCGGCCTGGGGGCCGCTGTGTGGGCTTCCTGGCCCTGGCCTGCTCAGCATGGATGCCGGTCTTCCTTGAGCTGTGTGCAGAGGCGGCACGGAGCCCGGCTCAGGGCCACGACTGGGTCTGTGCTCCCTTGGGGGCTCAGTGCTGGTTCACAAAGGGGACACAGCCCTGCCCCGCTGGGAAGGAGGGCACAGGAGAGGGTTCGGGACGGGATGGCACCCTCAGTGCAGGTCAGCCCTGCACACTGTTATTAGTGATAATTGTCACTGTAGCCAGGTGTACGCCTCCGGACCCACCCTCCAGCACGGCCGCCATCCCGCTGAACCGCCACCTCTGCACTGAGCCCCAGGTCTCCCAATTATGTGCCTTTCAAGCCCGAAGGAGGTCACTTCCTGAGCCCCAAAGGAGGCGCTCAGCAAACCAGCTGTTTCCCCACCTTGTGGTTGGGTCCTCTGAAACCCTGCCTGGCCAAAACACCTACACCCATGGGGTTTATAAAATTTTTCATGGGAATTAACTGGAGTTTCTTTACAAAAAAAATTGGTATTTTCCAGTGGAAAGGGAGGAGGGTGATTCAGAGTGAAGCAGTTAGAGACCTGCTCCCCGTCTCCTCATCTTCTCCGTTCCTCCTACTCGTGTGATCTCCTGGCCCCTGCGTGTGATCTCCTGGCCCCTGCGTGAGATCTCCTGGCCCCTGCGTGTGATCTCCTGGCCCTTGCGTGTGATCTCCTGGCCCCTGCGTGAGATCTCCTGGCCCCTGCGTGTGATCTCCTGGCTCTTGCGTGTGATCTCCTGGCCCCTGCGTGAGATCTCCTGGCCCCTGCGTGTGATCTCCTGGCTCTTGCGTGTGATCTCCTGGCCCCTGCGTGAGATCTCCTGGCCCCTGCGTGTGATCTCCTGGCTCTTGCGTGTGATCTCCTGGCCCCTGCGTGAGATCTCCTGGCCCCTGCGTGTGATCTCCTGGCTCTTGCGTGTGATCTCCTGGCCCCTGCGTGAGATCTCCTGGCCCCTGCGTGTGATCTCCTGGCTCTTGCGTGTGATCTCCTGGCCCCTGCGTGAGATCTCCTGGCCCCTGCGTGTGATCTCCTGGCTCTTGCGTGTGATCTCCTGGCCCCTGCGTGAGATCTCCTGGCCCCTGCGTGTGATCTCCTGGCTCTTGCGTGTGATCTCCTGGCCCCTGCGTGAGATCTCCTGGCCCCTGCGTGTGATCTCCTGGCTCTTGCGTGTGATCTCCTGGCCCCTGCGTGAGATCTCCTGGCCCCTGCGTGTGATCTCCTGGCTCTTGCGTGTGATCTCCTGGCCCCTGCGTGAGATCTCCTGGCCCCTGCGTGTGATCTCCTGGCTCTTGCGTGTGATCTCCTGGCCCCTGCGTGAGATCTCCTGGCCCCTGCGTGTGATCTCCTGGCTCTTGCGTGTGATCTCCTGGCCCCTGCGTGAGATCTCCTGGCCCCTGCGTGTGATCTCCTGGCTCTTGCGTGTGATCTCCTGGCCCCTGCGTGAGATCTCCTGGCCCCTGCGTGTGATCTCCTGGCTCTTGCGTGTGATCTCCTGGCCCCTGCGTGAGATCTCCTGGCCCCTGCGTGTGATCTCCTGGCTCTTGCGTGTGATCTCCTGGCCCCTGCGTGAGATCTCCTGGCCCCTGCGTGTGATCTCCTGGCTCTTGCGTGTGATCTCCTGGCCCCTGCGTGAGATCTCCTGGCCCCTGCGTGTGATCTCCTGGCTCTTGCGTGTGATCTCCTGGCCCCTGCGTGAGATCTCCTGGCCCCTGCGTGTGATCTCCTGGCTCTTGCGTGTGATCTCCTGGCCCCTGCGTGAGATCTCCTGGCCCCTGCGTGTGATCTCCTGGCTCTTGCGTGTGATCTCCTGGCCCCTGCGTGAGATCTCCTGGCCCCTGCGTGTGATCTCCTGGCTCTTGCGTGTGATCTCCTGGCCCCTGCGTGAGATCTCCTGGCCCCTGCGTGTGATCTCCTGGCTCTTGCGTGTGATCTCCTGGCCCCTGCGTGAGATCTCCTGGCCCCTGCGTGTGATCTCCTGGCTCTTGCGTGTGATCTCCTGGCCCCTGCGTGAGATCTCCTGGCCCCTGCGTGTGATCTCCTGGCTCTTGCGTGTGATCTCCTGGCCCCTGCGTGAGATCTCCTGGCCCCTGCGTGTGATCTCCTGGCTCTTGCGTGTGATCTCCTGGCCCCTGCGTGAGATCTCCTGGCCCCTGCGTGTGATCTCCTGGCTCTTGCGTGTGATCTCCTGGCCCCTGCGTGAGATCTCCTGGCCCCTGCGTGTGATCTCCTGGCTCTTGCGTGTGATCTCCTGGCCCCTGCGTGAGATCTCCTGGCCCCTGCGTGTGATCTCCTGGCTCTTGCGTGTGATCTCCTGGCCCCTGCGTGAGATCTCCTGGCCCCTGCGTGTGATCTCCTGGCTCTTGCGTGTGATCTCCTGGCCCCTGCGTGAGATCTCCTGGCCCCTGCGTGTGATCTCCTGGCTCTTGCGTGTGATCTCCTGGCCCCTGCGTGAGATCTCCTGGCCCCTGCGTGTGATCTCCTGGCTCTTGCGTGTGATCTCCTGGCCCCTGCGTGAGATCTCCTGGCCCCTGCGTGTGATCTCCTGGCTCTTGCGTGTGATCTCCTGGCCCCTGCGTGAGATCTCCTGGCCCCTGCGTGTGATCTCCTGGCTCTTGCGTGTGATCTCCTGGCCCCTGCGTGTGATCTCCTGGCTCCTGTGTGTGATCTCCTGGCTCCTGTGTGTGATCTCCTTGCTCCTGTGTTTGATCTCCTCCTCCCTGTGTGTGTGATCTCCTCCTCCCTGTGTGTGTGATCTCCTCACTCCTGCGTGTGATCTCCTTGCCCCTGCGTGTGATCTCCTGGCTCCTGCGTGTGATCTCCTGGCCCCTGCGTGTGATCTCCTTGCCCCTGCGTGTGATCTCCTCACTCCTGTGTGTGATCTCCTCGCCCCTGCGTGTGATCTCCTGGCTCCTGTGTGTGATCTCCTGGCTCCTGTGTGTGATCTCCTTGCCCCTGCCTGTGATCTCCTGGCTCCTGTGTGTGATCTCCTGGCTCTTGTGTGTTGTGTTTGATCTCCTCGCCCGTGTGTGATCTCCTCATCCCTGCATGTATCTCCACACCCCTGTGTGTGTGTGTGATCCCCTCGCTCCTGTGTTTGATCTCCACACTCCTGCGTGTGATCTCCTGGCTGTGTGTGATCTCCTCGCCCGTGTGTGATCTATCTGCACACCCCTGTGTGTGTGATCTCCTCGCCCCTGTGTGTGATCTATCTGCACACCCCTGCGTGTGTGATCTCCTCGCCCCTGTGTGTGTGTGATTTCCACGCTCATGTGCATCTGAACACTCATCTGTATGGCGCGTCCTCCCTCCCCGTCCAGGCCTCTGCCTGTGGGGTCTGGGCTGTGTGTAAGGAGAGGGATGCCCAGTCTCACCTGAGCTGCAGCTGCACGCCAGCATTAGCAGGGCGACAGTGGTGCCAGTCTTCATGGCAGAAGGCAGGAAGTCTGGTGCCTTGGTCGGAAGTCTCACACTGTGTGTGCATCTGTTGTCATCGGTGCTGCTTATATCCAGCAGGCATTGCCTGAGGGGGAGTCTGGTGAGGGCTCTGCCTATGAGATGCATTGTTTACCTGGGCACTGGCTCTGTGGACGAAGTAAACATTCCTTACACCAAGTCCCACGGGGACTGCTTTGAGGTTGCCTGAGGTCTTTGGGGGTGCTTTCGGGCGCCCAGACCCAGGACCCTAGGTCCTCTCCAGGGAAGGATGTGGGCATGGATGCCACCTAGTGTGAAGCCTGGCTCTGCCATGCTTGGGGGCCTGGACTTGGGCATGGACAGCAAGGGACACGCGCCCAACACCCATCTGAGGCCCGGGCCTGAGGGGCCCACCAGAATCGCCCCAGTCCTGGCCCTCCCATCTTCCTCCCACTGGGCCCCAGGTGGCTGGCAGCCCTCCTGGCCCTGCTCCTGGCGCCCCTGCCTCCTTCCCTCCTTCCCCTTGGCCGATGCTGTGTGTTCTGCTGGTGTTCACTCCTCAGGGCTGTTCTGCGGTGTCTGTGGTTCCCTGGCCGGCCTGTCTCTTTGCCCTCTCCTCCTCCTATGGCTGCACCTTGGCAGCCTTGGCTCAGCCTGGTCCCAGTGACTCCTGCTCGGCCTCCCTGCCCTTCATGATGACCTTCCCAAAGCCCCTGACCGTGCCATTTGCTTCCTGAAGCCTGGCGAAGGCGTCCTCTTGCCAGGGGAACTGAGTTCCTGCGCGATAGACCGGGCCGGCCAATCACCACCACCGTCCTTTGTGCTCATGGCCCTGCCCGCCGTGTGGCAGCGTCCTCGGCTTGCCCTCCTTCGCCTGGGCCAATCCCTGTTCTCCTCAGGCCATCCCACCTGGGCGTCCGTTCTCCAGATCCTGTTTGTGCTTCAAGGCTCCGTCATGTTCCTTTGGCCCATTCGTCCGTCCGCTCGTTCGGTGAACACAGCCCTGTGCGCCGTGCCTCGTGTGGGTGCTCAGCCTGGGGTGACTGGGAGGATCGTGGGGGCCCCTTCAAGAAGAACTTGCTGATCCCTGGTGGGAGCTGTGTGACCAGCAAACCTTCATTTGCCTAACTTCACGGGCCGGCCCTGCTGCCATTTCCAGGCCACGCCTGGCACAGCAGGAAGGGAGATTAAAAATTCTTTAAGGACTGGTCTCACTACATTGCCAAGGTTGGTCTCATGCTCCGTTCAAGTGATCCTTCTGCCTCAGCCTCTTGAGTCGCTGGGGTGCAGGTGTACACTGTCCCTGCAGCCCGGCCACGTGTCTGTGTGCTGCGTGGACAGCCCCAGCGGGTGACCCAGTGGGCTCGTGGTCTGGCTGGTGGAGTCACAGCTGTTTTCCTTCTGTGGAATCCTGCATCTGCCAGCCCCCTTCTGTGTCCTGACCAGACTCCTGTATCCAACTTCAGCGTTCCCGCACCGCTGTGTCCTCTCACAGCTGTTCCCTCAGCCCCGGGGAGCCCTGCTTGGCCTTGGGCCTTTCTCTGCCCACCCCGGCCGCACTGCAGGGCACGGCAGGGCAGAAGCGACAGCTGAGGCTCAGAGGCAGCTTCTTAGCCACAAGCTGCGACTCTTGGTCCCTAAAGGCCCAGGGGGACCCCGAGCCTGTGGGGCTCACGTGAGACATGCAAGCCACTGCCTGGGGAGACTGGGCCCTCAGGTGCTGGCTCTGGAGGGACAGTGAGCTGCAGGGCTGCAGGGCCTCAGATTGGGAGAGGAAAGAGCTCAGGGCAAGCGGAGGGCCAGGGGCTCAGCCCCCTTGGTCTGGAATGCTGAGGCCAAGGTCTCCGCTCCCCGAGGGTCCTTGGCTGGGAGTCCTGTCCTGGTCTCCACAAAGTCCAGGGGCAGAGGTGGGGATGGGACTGCAGCATCTGGCCATGCCCAGAGGGCGAGGGCCTGGCTGTGGCGGGCCTGTCCTGAGCAGTGGAAGCTGGGCAGCCGTGTGACTGCTGCAAGTCCAAGCATGGCCCAGGAAACAGGCTGAGCCTAGGTGGGCTACGTGGAGCCTGTCTGTCCAGCCAGGCCACTGGGTCTGGTCACAGGCTCGGGTTGGCCTGAGGTTGGCTTGTGGGGGGTTCTGGAGCCAGGCAGGTCTGGCCCGTTTGGAAACAGCCCGCACAAGGCAAGTTCTTCCCTGGCCTTGGTGGCCTGCTGCTCTGAATCTCCCAGCAATGTGTCCCTCCCCGCAGTGCCCAGGGCATGTGAGCAGGAGGCCCCCGACTGCAGAGTGGCTCTTGGCTCCAAATCCGAAGATCTCACAACTGCACGATGATTACTGGAGTGACGTTGCTCCCCGAGCTCACAGACACCTCAGTGGACGCCGTGATGTTCAGAACACATCAGGCCCTCATCCCTGCTTTGCTAGGTCGCGGCCAGCACTGCACCCTGCAGGAGTGGCTGAGTCTTCATGCCCTGGGTGCCCCAGAGTGACTGCACACTTCCTGCTGCCCCCACGCCTCCAGCCAAGGCTGCGGTAGACCCAGGCCTAGGGACTGGGAGGGTCCTGGGAAGGGGCATCCCACACGAGGACCAGTGGCCGAGCCCCCTGGCTGACCCAAGCTGGGCAGCAGGGTGGGAGCATCAGGTACAGAGCAGCCTCAGGCGATGGTACCACTCTGCGCACACAGCTCGGGGCCCACACACCCTACTTGGGGTCACATCTCGGACATCACCAAAGCTTGAACTTTAAGACACACGCCTGTCATCCCAGCACCCCGGGAGGCTCAGGCGGGAGGATTGCAAGTTCAAGAGCAGTTTAAGCAGTTTAGGGACTTGGTGAGGACCTTGTCTCAAAGAAGGACTTACACAGTGTGTGTGTGTGTGTGTGTGTGTGTGTGTGCAAAGACCCTGGGTCCAAGCTCAGTATCACAAAGCTTAGCACTTAGGAATGAAGCTGCCTCTCCTTGCCACAGTACAGCTGTGCGTGGGTACAATACCACTGAAGGGGCCAACACCTGCTGGCCACACTTGCGTTATCTCAGGTCCTTACAAACCATGTGGTGCCTGTGCCTTCTCCCAGGGACTCCCCCATGGGAGCCTCTGCACTGGGCAGCAGAGGGGCGTGGGTGGGGTGGCATCAGTGACCAGGGATTTGGTTATTTCCTTTTGTCCCTCAGCCCTCAACGCTGCCCAGCCGCGTGTGTCCCTGCGGCCACGCTGTGTCCCTTCATGCCTGGGCAGACTCTCGCGCAGGGAAGGGGAAATGGCTCTGACCTGTGCTCCTGCCAGCGGCCATCAGGGCTGGGGTGCAGGGTGGGGCTGCCCCTCAGTCCTTCTCCAGGCCATTTGTGAGGGGCTCAGCCCCTGGGGTGGGGAGCTGGTGGGGGCCCTGCTGTGTAGGAGGAAGCTTCAGGTCTGCTGCCGCCTGTGGTTTGGGTGAGGCAGTGACAGGACTATGACAGGACAGCGCTGATCTTTCCCAGGACCTGGCCCATCTGCTGCTTCCTCTGGCAGGTTCTCTGCTGTGGGCGCCATTGCTCCGGCCTCTTCCTGAGCTGTCCCGCTGTCCTCCAGGGCCCTGTGCCTCACTGTGCCTGGCACTGAGGTGGGGCAGGAGCCCAGCTCTGTCCTCACTGAGGGAGGGGCACCAGGGCGGCCTGTGGCCTCATCCTCTGAGACCCAGTGCCACCCACCCAGAGGGGCCACGCAGCCTGGCTTCACCTTGTTTTTGCTCCTCCATTGACGTAGCACTTCCCCTGCCCAGTGAGTCTCTGCCTCACCTGCCATTTTCTACTTTTATAGCTAATGTATCTTATTCTTACATTTGTGTATTTTACACAATGACACAGGCGCACGTACGGCATATGATGCATTCTGCTTTTTTCTCTGTGTCTTTCACCCTGGCCTGACCCCCCTGGTGAGCGCCCAGCCTGGGCCACACATGCTCCACAAGCCCAGGCACAGAGGCCGCCTCGCTCCTCCAGGGTCCCCATCCCAGGCGGTGCCCAGTCTTCTGGCCTCTGGTGGCGACACCTGTACCTGACTCACGGGTCCCCGCCTATCCCTGTGCCCGGAGTCGGACTGTTCCCCCTGACAGCTTGGCAGTGTGTGAGAGGCCAGGCCCACGAAACAGCAGAGCAAACAGCGGGGCACAGCTGGGGACTCAGGCACGGCTGTTTATGAGGGCTCTGGAGGCTGCCTCACAGCACTGTGTTCTGTTGAGAATCTGATTATTAATTTTCATGTAAACAATTATCTAGTAACCAATAAAAGTGTTCATAAAGCCAAAGTACTGCAAAAGGTATTTCAGCACTGACTAAATTTTTTGGCTCTTTCTTTAGTTCTAAAACAAGAGTTGAAAAAGAATACATTTCAACTTTGAAGATACTAAACTTTAGTAAAATATTGCCAATGGGAAATACAATGTTCACTTATTAAGCCAAAATATGACACCTTAAACTCCTTCATTATTTAAAAATTTTAAGTCCAGACCAAATTCCAAGTCTCTCTCTCTCTCTGTTTTTTTTCAGTCAGGGTCTCACTATGAGGTCCAGGCTGGCCTTAAACTGTCAGTGATTCTCTTGCTTCAGCCTCCCAAGTACTGGCATAACAGGTGTGTGCTACCACGCCCGGTATAAATTCTCAGTCTTATAGGCCAGGATTGAAGCAACTTTTAGAATTCTGTTTCTTGGCCTTTACATCACTACGGTATTTGTTCTGAATCTGATAAAAAGCAGGACACACAGCACCCCGGGGTGGGAACCCCTGCTTCAGACCTGGCTCCTGGGCTTCTGAGGCCAGGCAGGGAAAAGTATGCTACAGGCCAAGGAACAATGAGGTGAAGAGGGCACATCGGGGAGCTCTGCTCACTCTCTGCCCGTGCACACAGATATCAAGCAGCACACGGTACCCCATAAGTATATACAATCACTTTCTGTCACTTAAGCAAGTAGGTTGGTTATGTGAATGTTTTGGGGACCATCTGTGTAACAGAGCGCTCCGACAGAATGTCCACATAAATGGTCATCTTTTTTTCAAACACGTAACGCTGCGTGCTGCCTGGGAGCTGGCGCCCTATTGCTAACCCTCCATTGCAGCTGCTGCTGTAGTGGCGGCGTGGGGACGTCTGTGCTTGGCAGGCTTGTGGCCTTGCTCAGGACGGCTGGGGCCTGGTGACCAGGAGAAGCAGCTGCCTTCAGAGGCCTCGTCGCTGATTCCAAGACCTATCCTGCCTGCACCTGGAGTAGGGCCACCATCTTGGGGAACCCAAGGCCCTAGTGCCCAGGCCCTTTCCAGTCCTCCCACGGCCAGCGCCCCTGAACTATGGGAGCCAGGAAGAGCCCCCCACATCCTCGCTCACCCCCGCCCCTTGGCTGTCTGAGAGAGGGAAGAGTAACAGGGAGGAGGGAAAATAAGAGAAGCCATGTGAGTCAGTGTTCCAAGAATTGCCCACACCCTGGGACAGCCTGCCCCGGATCTGAGCCTCGGGTTACTGCACCTGGGTCTTTGATCTGCTGGGTCCTGCTCCACCTCCGGAGGCAGTGCGATCTGTTGGTCCCGGTCCGTGGGTCGGTCGGTGGGTCACTGGGCTGGTCCAGCGGGCCTGGGACACTCCCAGCTGTCAGGAGCAAACCAGTTCTGCACTCTCAGGTTCGGGCTGGAGCCGGGCCTGGACAGGGGACCGCTTTCCCTCTGTAACTGTCTCGGGGTTTCCTAATGGACTCAGGTGTGCTGGGAACACGGTGCTCAGAGCACACACGTCCTGCAGTCCAGTCCAGGAGAGGCCTGGCCCTGGGGTTCCCCAGGAGTCCCTGGGCACAGTGGAAGTCCAGTCCACAGTCAGTGATGCCCACGGTCTGTTCTTACGCCAGCAGGACCAGGCTAAGCTGCTGCCTGCCTTACAACTTGCTCTCCCTCCCTGGTGCTGCCCACTGGGTCACCTCGGTGGCACTGTCTCACCAGCATGTGGCCTGTCTGTCCTCCGGGTGAGGAGTCTCCCCCGTCTGTCCCTGTGGCCACACCGTCACCCCAGGTCCAGGCCTCCCAGCATCGCCCCACAGTGGCCCTGTCTGTGGGTGTGCACCTGTGTCTCTGTGGACTCTGTGGTGTCTCAGGGAAGCCCCTGCCTCAGCTACCTTTGGCTCACACCGGCTTCCACCCCTGGTGCTGAGGTCAGTAGAAATGAAAGACAGGCAGAGATGAGACAGGGAAATCACGGCTAAGAATTCAACCTCTAAGAAGACTGTGTCCCTGGCCATCGTGGATGGGGGTCACAGCAGGAGACCCATGCTGTGTCCCCTCCACACCCACCACCCAGTTCCTCAGGACACTGGGAGCTGCACATTGGCCTGGTTCACAAAGTAGAGAGCAGGACCCTGATGCAGAAGCAGCCTGGGGGACTTCAAAGGCTCAATAAACCACCTGTCCTGAAACTCCTGGGCCCACACCGAAGACCCACACCCGCCAGGTGGGGCACAGCCTTTTCTGTGTTCCGTCCAGAGGAGCATAAAAAAGGGTGCCTCCCTCTCCCTCCATCCCTCTCCCTCTCTCTCTCTGCCTGTCTCTCTGTCTCTGTCCCTGCCTCTCTCCTCCCCACACTCTGTTTCTTTCAGCAGCAGCCCTTACTTGCTGTACCTAGTAAGCCTTGCGGTGCTTCTGACGGAGGCATTCAGGGAGTTCAGTGAACCTAGTGTAGGGATGGGGCAGGTTCAGTTCCTTGACCCAGCTTCGGGAACCTCCTTGGGCTCTGTCTGGTGACAGGCCTCTGCTGATGTCCTTGTCTCCTGTACCAAGGACGATCTTCCAAGAGGCCCTCTCCCTCAGGGAGGGCCTGCTATCTTTTCTTCTTTCGTGGCCAGGGTTCTCCAGGGTCCACTCCGTGCCATGTGCCGCCAGGGCTCTGCCACCCAGGGAGCAGGGATGGTAAGGGAAGCACAGACTCACTGTCCTCCAGCTGATTCGCAGTGTCCGCTGGGGAGGGAGCTGGAGCAGCAGTGGGGTGTGGTGTTCGGTGGTGGGGCTGACCCTCCATGGCGCCCTGCTCCTGTCAGGCCCCTCCGCTGGCCGCTGCTGCAGGCCACAGAGCCTCTGGGAGGAGCTTGCTGGCAGCCAGGGCCGTGATAGCTGGGAGAGTGCTCAGGCCTGCTCAGAGGAAGTGACATTTCCGGGTGGGTGCAGAGGCTTTCTGCAGAGGTGGCTCTGAGCTGGTCCGACAGGGACAGGGTTAGGGACTGGATGGGGAGGAGGAGGAGGATGGGGAGACGGGAAGAAGGGTGGGGAGGGAGCAGGAGAGAATGGAGGGGGGACGGCTGGGGGAGGACACCGGCGGGACGGGGACCCCTGGAGCAAAGACAGAACCTCAGGCCCTGCGGCTCCTCCACCCTCCTGCCCCGTTCAAGCTGGTGCTGGGGACACATCCACGGTGGGGCCGGTGCAGAAAGACTTGGTGCCTCGGGGTTCCTGAGTGAGCCCCGCGGGAAGTGGGTCCTGAGGATGGGCAGATGGGGGCAGGGCTGGGTGCCGGGAGCTAGGGCTCAGCTCGGTAGCCAAGAACCTTGTGGGGCCTGGGACAGTGTGGGCCCATGGGCCAGGCCTGGGGTGGAGCTGCTTTCACTGTGTGCCACGGGTGTCACATTTGTCAAGTGAATGTCAGGGGCCCCTGTGCCAGACCTCAGGAAAACGGATCCTACTCGACGCACCTGTGGGCCCGAGCCTGGCCCTGTACACCCTGCTCTGTGGGCACAGAGGTGGTTGCTCAGAGTATGTTAGAGCCCAGCTGCTCACCTGTCCCACCCTTGTCCTCAGCCCAACCCCTATCCTTCTGCCCAGCCCTCCTGCCTAGCTCCTCCAGCCGCCAGGGGCGCACAGGGCCGGGCAGGACTGTGAGAGGCTAGAAGACAGGACAAAGTGGAGGTGGCCCCCCCTGAGGAAACCCTGAGCTGCCCGCTGCTACAGGAGGCACTACGGCCCTGCTCTCAGCCTGGTGTCCCTGGTGTCCCCAGCCTGGCAGGGAAGCTGCGTCTCCTCCTCTGAAACCAGGCACGGGCCGGGCGGCCAAGCTCATGGGAAAGCCAGGTCCCAAGGCCGTCCGTCCACTGTTCTGTGCTGCTGCCTGGTGCCTGTGGACCTGGAGCTGCTTCCCGGGAGAAGGATGGGCCCTCTGCTGTGTGCATCCCTGCATCCTCGTTGCCAGCAAAGATGGGCTTGAGGGTGAGGATCTGAAGGAGAGAGAGGAGGACCCCATGCTGGATAGGGGTGCTGGCCTGGCCCGCAGAAGTATCGCTGCAGCTAATGCGGAGGGAAGAGCCGGGCCTGGGGTTGGCAGAGCTCTGTGGCCTGGAGAACAGGTGGCCACTCCTGACTCGTCCACCCACAGTGCCGGGAAACTAGAGAGGCTGGGGCAAGCAGAAAACAGCAGCAGGACACCTCCAGCTCACGAGAGTGAGGCACTCACTGTGCCGGGCACACGTCTGTCTCCAGGTGTAAACAAACTGAGTCTTGCAGCAGTGCTGCCCTTCCCTCCCTTCCCCACTGGTATGGTGGATTGAATCCAGGGCCTTCACACCAAGCTACGTCTCTAACCCTAACCCTTAAATATTTTTATTTTAAGATAGGGTCTCACTAAGTCTCTGAATTGCCCATGCTGGGTTTGGTTCTCCTGCCTCAGCCTTCCAGAGGGCTGGGATCACAGCGTGAGAGGGTTGCTGTTGCCTGGTGCTCAAGTCCTGGGAGCCACTGGCTGAGGGAGGGGGTCTGAGGGTGCCTTGATGCCGCAGAGGGGCCCTGGAGGGTCAGGGTGACCCAGGCTTGGAGGGAGCCGCTGGGGCTTCTGGGAGGGGTACGGATTCCGGAGGAGGTGGGGTCACCGCCCAGCTTCCCCACCCCAAGCGGCCGGGCCGCAGGACTCTGCAGCCAAGGCACACTGCCCACCAGTCCGGGCTGCGCTGCGAGCCCTGAACTGCCGGCTCCGCCCTACCGCAGTCCTGCCAAGGAAATATCTATTTATCAAAAGGCAGACTAGGCTCACAATTAAAGAAATTTCAGCGAAGGAAAACTTCACTTCTTGTTTTCTTACTTGTACAGCTTGCCTTTAATAGAAAGTTTAATCCTTTCAATGTTGTCTGGAATGTATTTCAAGATTTTTCTCTGTAGTTAAAAAAACTGGGGACGAAGCCCAGCAGGACCTTGCACAGGGGGCAGGGAGGGGTTCCCCTGCAGCCCCCAGGCCCCGGCTGAGCCCGCACCCGGGCTTAGGGCCTCCATGTCCACCCACACAGGGCTGTCCCTGTGCCGCCTCTGTCACCCCGAGTCACACGCTGAGCCTTGACCCTTGTGTCCGTGTGCCTGGGGGCGAGGCAGCGGCCTGGGTAGGAGATGAGGCCAGGCCAGGGGTCCTGGGGACACCTGTGGATGTGGACGGTGTCTTCCTTAACCTCTAGACAAGAAGCCCGTTCCCCTAGAAGCAGGACTTCTGCTGCAGAGGCAGGATGCGCCCCTGCTGAGAGCAGCCCGGGTGGCTGGCACTGTCTGGGCAGGTCTCTGAAGCTTTCTCTGTTTCCTTTCCCACACCATCGGCTCTGTAAGTGGCTGCAATTTCCACGCGTGCCGCGAACCAGTTTTGTCCCCTGCCACCGAGGCCCAGCTTGGAGCGCTGCCCTGGTGGCCAGAGTGCGCCACCGCATGGCCTGCCTCAGGACTGGAGGGGAAGCCAGGGGAGCCCGGCTCCGCCCCCCCCCCAGACTGGGACGGTGAGAGGGGACACCCTGGCCTCTCCTCCACCAAGGGCCTCCCATCTTTGTCAGCTGCTGCAGCAGATGCCTGGTCGGAGGCCTGAGCGGGTTCAGTCTGCCCCCTCTAGACTAAGGAGATGGACAGGCCCACAGGCAACTGAGTCACCAACTGATAAGACTTAAGAGACGTGTGCACCGAGTCTGAAGCACGGGGTAACATTAATGACAGGTTTATTGCAGCGGACGGTCACGTTTGTCCCACCTCACTGTTGGGTATCACTGCTCGCCTCTCGCTGGAAATTCCACTGGGCCCAGCTGCTCCCCTCCGGTGTCTCACCGCAAGAGCTGAAGACAGTGATTCCTGCACACCCATGTGTGCAGCAGCACAGTTCACAGTGGCTAAGCCCAGGGGTCCCTCAGCAGAAGGATGGATGACGAAGCAAGTGTCCATCGCAGTGGCGCTCAGCTGGCCACAAAGCTAAACTCAGTCAGTACAGGTACACGGATGCCCGAGACTACAGCGGGAGAAGCTTAAGCGCTGCTCGCCACACCAAGCATGCCCACTCCCCCTGCCGAGAAGAGGCCCCAGGTCCGGCCCACAGCCACTCCTAGCCATGCATCACTTCCAGACCCTTTTATCAGCGGGCACAGAACCCAAGCCAGGCAGCTGCTCTCCATGGAAGGGAGCCCGAGACGGAGACCGCCAGGTGTGCACAGCAGACGCAGCACTGGGCAGCCGGCTCCCCAGCCCATACGCCCACGCCAGGCAGTGGGTGGGGTCCCCTCTGCATCCACCGGCTCCTCCCTGCCACGGGGGAGGTGGGGGATCAGAGCCCTACTGCTCTGTGTTAGTGTGAGGGCCACACAGGAAATGCTGACCCGGGATGGCAGCCCCAACTGAGCCCTTGCTCCGGGCAGAGAGCTGTAGCGTGAGGGTGATAAGTCATCCCTACCCCTCTGCTCCTGCTATGGGTGCTCCTGCCTCAATGCCAGCCATGACACTGAGCTCTCCACCCGGCCCAGGCTCCAGCCCCAGCTTGTGGCGCTAGCTCAGGCCCTTGGGGGAGGCCATCCTCTCCGTCCCAGTGTGAGCTGAAGGTGGGCGTTTCTCACTGCTGTGGAGCCCAGTGCACACACACATTCAGAAAGTCACGGAGTAGGGACAAAATGAGGGCCAGACTGCGAGTTTTCCTTTCCACATCTAATTGGCTAAGCTACGCTGGCCCTGTGGCGCCGTCTGCGGCTCAGGACAGGTCCGTGATGGTGCTGTCACCAGGGTCGATGCCGGCATGCACCTTGCCGCCCTTCACAGCTGCCCAGGGCATGGAGGTTGAAGTCCACTTGGCTGCCCAGTCCCCTGCCCTGCTGACCAGGATGAGGCCCCCCAAGGCTTTGAGCTTCGACTTCATGTAGCCCAGCGCCACCTCTGCAGCCTCTTCTACCGTCTTTCCTGGAAGGGAGGAAAGTGGGAGAGGAGGGTCGTGGGGAGCCTGGCGGGAGGGGTCAGGCAGTGGGGGCGCCCCAGCCGGCTCCGGCAGAGCAGAGCCCTGAACGCAGCCCTGCGCCTGTGCACCTTGCTCCAGGTGGAAGAGAGCGAGCCGGGCCAGGTTCACCTTCAGGATGCTCTCTCCGTGTCCCGTGGTGGACACGGCTCCGATGCTGTTGTCGGCATAGCCTCCGGAGCCTGCCCACAAAGGGAAAGGGTTCTCAGCTGGCAGCAAGGCTCCAGCCACCCAGAGTGAGCCCAGAGTGCTGGGTGTGGGCCAGGCTCTGACCTGGCACCACGACCTCCGATACTGCGGGTGGGGAGGCGGCAGAAGCAGAGGGAACCTGGGCTGCGGGCCAGGGACCTGCGGCCTCCTGTCCCTTGGGATGGGTCACCAGCAGGGGAGAAGCTGGGGCTTTTGGAACCGACCGGGGCATGAGGCTGGAGGAGGAGGGCGTCGGCCCAGGACACGGTCACCATCTGAGGGTGTCCTGGAGCTTGGGGTTGGGGTTCACCTACCCTCCCTGGGTGGGCCCTACTGACTCCCCGGCCGACAGGCTGTGCACACTGAGGCCGGGCAGCAGGAATGCGGGGGCGGGGGCGCCTGTGCAGGCCAGGGTATCCTGGGTAGGTGGTGAACCCCAGGAGGGATTTGCGGGGCACCGGACAGTCACTGAGGTCACTCTTGCAGGGGAGGCGGCCTCAGTCCCTTGTCTCACATGAGCTTCTGCTATGGAAGGAAGTGGCTGGGCCCCGGGGGTCGGGGAGGCCTGGCACAGGACCTGGAGAGTCTGTTTCCCTTCCAGCTTCCCTTCCCTTGGCACCTCCTACAGGGGGCCCGGCTTGGGCAGAGGCTCCACCTGAGGAAGGCGGCGGGGCCAGGGGGAACCCCTCAGTGTCCCCACAGGGTCCTCTGGCCAGCATGCCTGGTACCAGGGCCAGGACCAGGGCTCTGGCGAAGGCAGCTCACGCCTTTTCTCTCAGGACTTCAACGCGGGACTCCAGGAGTTTGCAGCCTGTCTCTAGCACTGACCCAGCAGGTGGCGGCCGCACCAGACCGGGCTTCCTGCTGTGCAGAGGGAGTGAGCAACGGGTCCACACCTGGACAGTGAGGGGCTCCAGCCCACAGGAAGAAATGGAGAGAACAGGCCCTGGGGACAGGGGGAAGGGCGGGCAGGGGCCGCACCCCAGTCCTACCTACGCAGGGCGAGTCCCCCACGCGGCCACACATCTTGTTAACGATGCCACCTGTAGAGGTCGCGTAAGCCATGTTTCCTCTGCAGTCCAAGGCCACAGCACCCACGGTTCCCAAGTTTCTGCCAAAAACACACAGATGAACTCCAGGCCGAGGAGGAGAAACTCCTGACAGCGCCTGGTGCTTGCAGCCACTCCAGTGTGCAGAGCTGTGTGTTCACAGCACCCGACACCGCAGACTCTCAGAGCCTTGGCTCTTTGCCCCGTGCACACCACATCCGCTGCAGGAGGGGTCCCCACGTCTTCCCACTCCCCAACAAGTGCTCGGAGCCCCAGCACCACTGCGAGCTGTCCCTTCTTGTGTCCCTGAGTTACTTTCTCCCTTGACATTTTACCATGAGTGCAAATGAAAGTTGGCATCATGGGGACCAACACCCACACCCCACCCGGCCCGAGTGAATTGTCCTGGGTGTTATGACACAGCAGGGAATGACAGGGACCCAGTCCCTTCTCCCACGCAGCTGCGCAGCAGGGCCAAGAAAATGTCAGGTGGCAATGGCATCGAAGAAAGAAGGCAGGAGGGAGAGGGGAGCACAGCGGGCGAGCAGCAGTGGGTTCAGCAGACAAGCTGGCCCCAGCCCACAGTCCCAGGGCCCATGTGACAGTGGCAGGAGGAAGGTAAGAGGCCTGCCAGGGCCAGGTCACCCAGGCATCCCCACCTCATCCCTGCTGTCCTGGCTCGGTGCCTCATGGTGTCCCCTCTCCCCTCACCCCAAGGGGAGATCACAGGATCCTGTGAGCTGACTGGGCTGAGCGAGGGGCCGTCCCTGGTGGTCTGGCTAGTGTGATAAACGCAGGTCACTCTGACTCCAGCAGCTCCAGTACATAGATATTTGTACCCAGGCTTTAGAAGAGCAGACAGCTGGACAGGGTGTGGGGGACAACAGAGCCCAGGCCTGTGAGTAGAGGGACTTGGAGAGGAGGGGCCAGTCGTTGGGACAAGGAAGTCACCCATTCCCACACAACAGGGAGTGCGGGGGTCACTCGGGACACGAGCCTCTCCTGTGGGGTCCAGTGCCTCCTTGCTGGGGCCTGAGAGGTCAGTCCCATTGCAGATCAGTTTGGGAATCAGTCAACAGGAAGTGAGAACAATTCCCAATATATACGCACTGCGTTTTGGGGCACCACTTTCATAGAGCGAACACTGCTGCACATAAAAGATCAAATGCACAACACAATCATAGTGGGGGACCCTGATACCCCACTTTTGCAAACAGATGAACTCAGCAAAAACTTAACAAAGAAATGCCAGAACTGACTCCCACCCAGAGTGGCTGGACGCACAGATGTCTGGAGAGCTCTGCCCCACATGACAGAGCACACGTTCTTCTCAGGAGCATGCAGAACTCTCTCCCAAAACACCACATCCTACTCTGTGCAGCACAGAGGGATGGAAACCACCCCATGGATACTCTCCGATACTCAACAGCAAAGAAACCATGGAAATGCTACAAACACTGGAGCCACAGAGCCCAGCAGGGCTCTGCTGGCTGGATAGAGTCCATGTGCCCTGTTCTTGGTGACGAGGCTGAGCCAGGGTCTCACGCGTGCAAGGCATGAGCTTGCCCGTGAGCTACACCCCTGGCCACCCAGGCCATCTGGAAAACCATGCAGTGACCTCTCCTGAAAGAAAGGTGGCCCGACAGCAGGCAACCCCACTCCTAAGACTCTTGCCCACACAAACCACACAAGGGGAGGCCGGTTACGGCTGCCAGGATGCTGCAATCCTGGAACTGGGGGCCGTCAGAGGTACCTGAGACCCCCGCCCCGTACCCCAGGGTCTAGGAAGCCTGACCCCTCGGGGAATGAGCTCCACACCTCTCTGCTGAGTAAATGTTGCCATTCTAAGGGCCACACAGTCACCAGGCTGAACACTACCACCAGCTCCTGGCCACATTCAACTCTGGTGTGAAGTAAGGGAGCTCACTTATCCCAAATAACTGGGGCTTTGAATTCTGTAACACAAAAACCCACACTTCAGGACACACGAGTGATGTGAGCTTTGAGGAGTTGGCCGGACCTCTCCCCTGCTCCAGGAGCACCACAGCTCAGAGTTTGGAAGGTGCACTACACCAGAGCATCCACTCTGTGGCGCTGTGACCACAAAGTCCCCAGTCCAGGAATCCAGGGAGGAAGCGGGATTGGAATCACTCACAATGAACCCCTAGCAAAATTTCTGCTTTCTGTTCCTGTGAGCTTGTGCTCCATTGGCCTCCAAGTCTTAGCTGCAGAGGGGGGAAGGCTTGTGCCAGCAGGCACAGCAGTGATTCCTCCTGGTCCCTCTGGCTCTTCACGCCCCTGAGTAAGCTAAAGGTCGGCAACTGGACTATTACTGCTCCACAAAGAGCAGAGGAGGAACACATGCAGAGGCCAAGAGGTCTCTGAGGTCTCAGCAAGACAGGGACACATCAGGAAGCACCAGAGAGGGGACGGCTCGCACCTCTCGCTGCACCAGGTCAGGGGAGTGCTGCAGGCCTGGGTGGAGTCACCACACAAAGGAGCACAAAGGAGGTCCAGGGTAGGGGTAAAGGGGCAGCTCTTCCTGCCTTGGGCTTGAAGCCTTAAATGCAGATGATCAGATAGGATCTTGCAAACCTCCCCAGGACTCCCCGACCTGCCCAGACTCACTGGGGGCAGGTGGCATTTGGGGCCCCTTTCTCCCGCCTCTCCTTCTCCAGGTGCTTCCTGCTCCTCTCTGTCACCAGCTGCTCCCCAGGAATCTCCGGGACCCCCATGTCTGCTGCAAATTTTGCTGCACCTCGGTCAGTCAGAAAGCAGTGTGGGGTCTGAGAAGACAGAAGAGGAAAGACGAAGCTTTTCTGGTGAAATTAAATTTTTTTTCTTTTTTTTGAGACAGGGTCTCTTCTAAGTCTCCCAGGTTGGTGGTGACATTGTGTTGCTCCTGCCTCAGCCTCAAGAGCATTTGGGGTTACAGGACTGTGTCTGGTGTGGAAATAACTGCTTCTCTCTGAGCACAAAGGGGCTCAGGTGCAAATCCCACTGGCCTGTGTTACTTCTTTTCCTCCTTCTGCCGGGGGTCCACTGAGGGGTTCATTCGCCCATGAGAGGTAGCCCTCTCACTGTGGGGTACCCCAGCTGGGACTGCTTTTCTGAATGCTGAACAGCCTGGCTCTCTGAGTTTTTGTCTTCTTCAAAGTCACAAACTGATGGGCTGGTGCTGGGGAGGTGACGCCTACATGCTCTGAGGCTTAGAAATCTTAATCCTTGGCAGCAGGATGGCAAGTTCCAGCTTGGCCTGGGCAGGACCCCTGGTCTCCCAGGCAGGCACCGCCACCTGCACACACACCTTGTCCATGACCAGCCGTGCCAGCTTGACGGGGTTTGAGATGCAGCGCACAGCGGACACGGCCCCTGTGGCCAGGTCTCTGCCATCCATGATGCTGGCATCCATCTCCACATCTCCGTCGGCAGTCAGCACAGAGCCTCGGCCTGGGCCAGGAGGAAGGTGGGGAGCGGGGAGGGGACTGAGAGAAGGCCGGTGCAACCTCTAAGGCAGCCCTGGAGCCCATTTTCCTTTCCACTGCACAGGGACACTGGAAACTCAGATCTGACGGGCGCCTCCTGGCCTGGATGAGGCAGACCAGCCCCTGGAGGGAGCTGTTTCCCGGCCGGCCTCCCACCTCCTCTCCAGCCACAGGGCCACCTGCAGGAGGCATCACCTGAGCCCAGCAGTATTCTTGAACCACGCTGCTTTACATCATTTTCCTTCCTTCCCTCCATGCTTCCCTTCCCAGTCCCTTTTCTTTTGTTCTCTGTCTCTTTGTCACTGAAGATGGAATGCAGGCCACTGCACATACCAGGCAAACACGGTAGCGTGGAGCTGCACCCCTGGCCCTACTTCTCTGTATAAAGCACCCGAGTCAGGCTAAGACATCACCGTACGACCTACAAAACAACCAGCACTTGTTCTGAGCAGACCTGGCCTCAGATCTCCTCCTCCAGCCGACTCCTCTCTGCAGCTCATCTTACTGAAACACTGGGGCTCTGCTGCCCTGTGCTCTCCTCCCCACTTCTGCCTGGACAGCACCCAGGCAGTGCACAGCTCTGGCTCCGGGTTTTAACTTTGTGCCTCTTGGTCCTACTTAGACAGCAGCTGTGTCACACGGAGCCTGGCACAGTGCTGGGTGTGGCTGAATGCCTGACTGAAGGCAGAAGCCTCTAGGTGTTGTGGGTGACACCAGTCAGTAGGCTTGTATCCCTGGTAGAATATAAAGGGAAAGGGAGGCTGCTGCTGCTTCCTGCCTTCCCTGCACAAGTGCTTTCTCCTCTGTGATGCTGCCCTGCCTTGGAACCAGCCGACTATGGACTAAAACATCTACAAACTGAGAGCCAAAATAAACTTCTCCTTTAACTCCTGGGCTCTCAGTATTTTGACCCAGAAAGGCACAAGTAACTAGAACAGCTATCATCAAGAAATCAAAGGCTGGAGATTTAGCTCAGTGGTTCCACTGCCTGCCTTGCAATGCAAGCACAAGGTCCCAAGTTCGATCCCCAGTACAAAAAAAAAAAAAAAAAAAAAAAAAAAAAAAAGAAAGAAAGAAAGAAAAAAATAAAGAAATAAATCAAGCAATAACTTGGTTAAGCTGCAGGAAATAGGGAACCTTTCTACATTATTGAGTATGGAGATTCCTCAAAAACTAAAAACCAAAAATCCCACTCAACCCAGCTATTCACCTCCTAGGTATCTTCCTGACAGAGTTAAAGACATCGTGTTACACTGATCCATGCATACCTGTGTTAAAAGCAGCACAATTCACCACAGCTAAATCTTGGAAGCTGCCTATCTGTCCATCAACAGAATGATGGATAAAGAAAATGTGGCATTACAAACAATGGAGTGCTATTCTGGTACAAAGAAGGATAAACTCAAGGAGAACAGATCCCCTTGAGAACAGAACGTTAAGGGAAGCAAATCAGACACAGCTCGAATATGGCATGGTTTCTCTTATGTGAGAACCCCAGAGTGTAAATAAAAAGCAAGATAAAAGAAGGCAGATCTTTTGCAAAGGGAAGGGGATCAGAGATGGAGGAAAAGGGCAGAACGGAGGTAAAGCGGGATGGAGCTGCATGGGAGGTGAGGTCCGCCCCCCCGCCCGCGCCCCGTGCCGCGCACCTGCGTTGAACTCGGGGTCGTCCTCC